CCGATAGCCGCCCTCATCTAGAAAAGCGGAGGAACCGATAGCCGCCCTCATCTATGAAAGCGGAGGAACCGATAGCCGCCCTCATCTATGAAAGCGGAGCAACCGATAGCCGCCCTCATCTATGAAAGCGGAGGAACCAATAGCCGCCCTCATCTATAAAAGCGGAGGAGCCGATAGCCGCCCTCATCTAGAAAAGCGGAGGAACCGATAGCCGCCCTTATCTAGAAAAGCGAAGGAACCGATAGCCGCCCTCATCTATAAAAGCGGAGGAACCGATAGCCGCCCTCATCTAGAAAAGCGGAGCAACTGATAGCCGCCCTCATCTAGAAAAGCGAAGGAACCGATAGCCGCCCTCATCTATAAAAGCGGAGGAACCGATAGCCGCCCTCATCTATAAAAGGGGAGGAACCAATAGCCGCCCTCATCTAGAAAAGCGGAGGAACCGATAGCCGCCCTTATTGTCATGAATTCATGAACCATCGAGTGGTCAAAGCAACGCCCGTCTAGAGGAGGGTCAGTTATTGTTCTTTTTATCTTTTATTCATATATTAATTTCTTTTTCAAGTCAGATTACGGACTTATTTTTCATTTCTAAAGAAACCGTTTCCTCAAAACAAATCCCTATATTTCTACTCTTGCACAAAAACAGCGGTACCTGTCACTACTCATCTTTGTAGTCCTATTTAAGACGTAGGTACGTAATGCATGGGGAATTATTATGTATGTAAAGTATAGTATATTATATGTACTATACTTTACATACATATAATATCCTAACCTTACATACGACAGATATCTACACTTATACAGAGCTATATACACTTATATATTGGTATACACAGCTATACAGGGCTATATACAGCTCTACACGGCTATATATGGCTGTACACGGCTATACAGGGCTCTACACAGCTATACACAGCTATACAGGGCTATACAAAGCTATACAGGGCTATACACAGCTATACACGGCTATACACAGCTATACAGGGCTATACACAGCTATACACGGCTATACAGGGCTATACACAGCTTTACAGCGCTATACACTGCTATACACAGCTATACAGTCAGGGCTATACACAGCTATACAGCGCTATACACAGCTATACAGGGCTATACACAACTATACAGGGCTATACACAGCTATACAGAGCTATACACAACTATACACAGCTATACAGGACTATACACAGCTGTACACAGCTATACAGGGCTATTCACAGCTATACAGGGCTATACACAGCTATACAGGGCTCTACACAGCTGTACAGGGCTCTACAAGGCTATACAGGGCTATACATAGCTATAGAGGGCTATACACAGCTATACAGGGCTATGCACAGCTATACAGGGCTATGCACAGTTATACACAGCTATACACAGCTATACAGGGCTATACACAGCCATACAGGTCTATACACAGCTATACAGGGCTATACACAGCTATACAGGACTATACACAGCTATATAGGGCTAAACACAGCTATACAGGACTATACACAGCTGTACACGGCTATACACAGCTATGCACAGTCCGAAAAAACATTTCATTTTTAACCAGTGGTGCACATGGTAAACCTTTTGTTATAGTAGCAAGATACAGAAGAACCAAAAAAAATTCTCAGTCCAACTTCGATTTGTAAGGAGGTATGTAACATGATCAGAAATCACTATTGCTAACCTAACCTGGGGTTATTGAACAGTTATCGAGTACCTTTTGTGGTATCACAGTGGCTGGGCCCAGAATGATCATATGCAATGTAAATGGATGTGATTGTTGCGAATTAGTGTACAAGGAATGACACCTTAGGCGTTGAAGGGAGAACGGTAGTAAGCACAATTGGAATTTTCAAGAGTTTACCTGTTGCTTTCACACACAAATCACTAAATTCATTTGCCAAAAATCCGTCTTGGCTAAATTTGTAAACTTCCTCTAACCCATTAACGCCTGGGTTTAGGGTTAGGGTTTAGGGGTTAGGGTTAGGAAGGACGTGGGAGATAATATGGCGAGAGGGTGGATATTAGAGAAAACAAAGAACTACGTTTCACTACCATGTGCGCAACTGTGTCGTCTAGGATATGAACAAACGGGACCTCCATGCACGTGCACCTCCGCCAATGTGATCTATTGCATAACTTGCACTTATTGCAAAAAGATATACATCGGCGAAACAGGCAGAAGACTAGGTGACCGATTCAGAGAACACCTTCGAGACGTGGAAACGTGGAAAAGAATGACAAGGACACACGGAAGGTAGCACGGAAAGCCGTAAAACTCTTGAACAAAAGCTCATCTTTCAAACCGGCAGTCTAAATCCCACAGGGATCAACGAACGCTTTTCATTCCACTAATTTTTCGTGTTTTTCTCGTTCCCATGTTCCCACCAATAACGTAGCTCCATTTTCTGCCTTTAAAAGCACACACAACCCACAATTCCTCTATTCGCTCCGACGAAGGGCTAACGCTCGAAACGTCAGCTTTTGTAATCGTTACGGTGGCCAATTTACCATTTCAACTTTGTTGATTTATCCAAATCAAACAAAGGGTTTCAATGTTCCTCCAAGGTCCACAATCCACCTCCACGTTCTGACCTTTCATGAACTTGGACCCCTTTTTCCTTTTATATGGTGAGACCGTCGGCCTATTGCGCTTCTTACTTTTAGGAGTTTTTCTCGGGTCAGCTCGACCTTGAACAACGTTTCCACAGTCGAAGCATCCGCAGACTTCGGTGCATCCGACGCCACCCGCTACACACGGACACTTGGACTTGCGGAGACCGTCTCAACACGACGTGTTGCTTGCATTTGTTTCTCTGGCCCCTTTGCTCTTTCCTCTAACTCCACACCTACAGCCTCTCTTCGGACTCTTTTTCCATCATCACCACTTCATTGGAATTGCATGTGTTTTTGC